CCCTCCCCAGCCACAGACAGCTGTCTGCTGGGGCCAGCCTCTGCCTGCAGCGTTCCTCCCCGCTACCTATAGCAGGGACAGGGAGTACTTTTGGGACCGGGGCTGCTGCCAGGAAAGGGTTGGGGGCAGCTGAGAGGAGGTGAACATGGGAAGGGGAGAAGGCTGTTCGCAGAGGTGCATGGTAGGGCACGGCTTTTTGTGCTGTGGGGTGCAAAAATGGTTCCTGTTCCATATTGACCCAAAGAGAGCAAGAGGAACAGAGAGGCAGATACTGGAGGGTGTTATGTGAATTTAATATCCATGCAGTTGCAACAATAGGTACAGTAAAAGCAAGTCTCTCTGGTCTCACTTGGTCTCTAGTGAGGTATATCAGCATGCATTAAAGTGGGAACACGAAAGAGACGTCAGGAAAAGAAAAGCCAATTACTCACCACGCTCATGTAATGGAGCATTCGGCCATCCACTTTTCCTTCATCAAACTGGGTCTTATACTGGGGGAGGCCAATGTCATCCAGCCACCCTAAAGCAGAGGCAGATGCTCACGTTAGTGTGGCAGCCAAGTTACCTAGCACCAGTCAGTGTTGTTCTCATTCTTTGAGCCCCGAATGAGCCATGATTAGGAACCCCTATCTAAAACTGGTGTTTCAGCATGTAATAAAATCTTACTCGTAACCCAGTAGTAATCCAGTTTGCCATGATTGTTTTCCTCTTCAGACCCGAGTGCCTGCAGAGCAAGCTGAAGTTTCTTCCGATGCAATGGGTGCTTTATCCCAAGCTCCTGTGAAAAGAAAAAAAGCAGCAAACCTAGATAAAATACTGTATTTTATTTCTCCTTCTGCTAAATTACAGCGGTTTGAGAGACTCACACTGTACAGTGCACTCGCTGGCAACCTGGCAGATGTATTTTCTATTTGCTGAATATCAGCATCATTTTAGCACATGCTCAGCACTGGGAAAGGCCAGTGCACTGTGGTGGATTAATTTCAACACATGGTGGATTCCAGACTGTATGAAAATGGCAGCTACATTATTCTGATGCAAGGTTAAAAACAAATCTGAAAAGATAAACCATGTTAACATTCAGAAGAATACTTGATGGGATTACTTCCTTCCCACTTAGGCAGGTAAGGTTAAAAAAATTATTTAGTTTGACACATATGAAGGTCTCAGGAATTTCTGAAATGTGTTACTGCTGCCACGTGTGTAACACCTGCCCCAGTTTAGTTGCAAGCACAGCCATTCCAGGATCTCTTCCGTCCCATACACACTTTCACCAGTGGTTGCTAGTTAGTATTACCTCTGATAACACTATTACAAGCTACTGTGTCCATACTGCACTTCTCTTATGCCAGTTGTAGTGTTACACAACTTTGAATTAGCTCATTGCCTGATTGAGAAAACAGGCTTACTATTTGGTGAGGAGAGTGATTTTTTTAGAAGCTGAAAATTCAAACGTTAGTAAATACCGTGGATCCAAAATATAAACTGAATCAATGTTTCTTTCAGTTTCTAGTTAAAATGTTTTACTTTGTCAACGTTTCTAGCTCATCTAAAAAAAGATAAACAACTGTAATGATTTAGACAAAGAGACTGATTGCCATGTGTGTAACAAATCCTCATGCCTCTTTGTGTGAAACGGGCTGAAAATATAATCAGATCAAACCAGCTGTTCTTACACTCTTCTCACACAGGTACAAAATACCTGTACCGTACATGAGGGCTAACAAATCTGGGCTACAAATCCATATGATAATGAGGCATGGTTGCATGCATATTTTTAGAAGGTGGCATAGCTGATTGATATGTCCATGCTTAATGAAGTTAAATCATATACTTGTAATTATTAGTTTCATGACAGAGCATTAAATTTCTATAAAACTTCAACTATAAAGAAATGGATTCAGCATCACTGCAGATGACACTATTTTAAAAGCTCACCTCGTTTACATTTTTTTTTTACTGGATGCACACTACAGACACAGTTTACATGCACAGAAATAGCAGGGTTTTGGTACATTTAACTGGAAGCAGTGTCTCCAGTATTTCTCACCTTTTCCAGATCCTGCTGAGAGGCCTGCAGAAGTGTTTGCCCAGACAGTATCCAGTGTTTCCCATTACTTATATAAGAGCCTAGCCCTTGGTCCTGGAGCCAGCTGCAAACCTGCTCCTTCGTCCACTTTGCAAATGGCATGTCCAACTCACTAGAGAAGATTTCACCAAAAAATAGATTGATGAATCATGTGCCTCCCATCTCCTACTCTCATACATACCAGTAAACCCAAAATGTTAAGTCTAATTCACGAGTACTTTGTGGGAGCTGTGAAAAACTCCAGGCGAGAACGTGCATCACGGTCATCACTTAGGTGAGGCTCATGAAGAAAAGGGTGTTTCTTCTTCTGAATCACTAGCACCATGAAGTGCTGATCACTGCTCATCTCCTGCCACTATCACAATAAACATGGTCTATTAATACTACTGAAAACAACGACCTCTGCTGCTTAGCATGGCTAAAACTCTGAAGTGAGACCACAGTGATTCCCTTTATCCTTCAGTCCCCAGTAGTGCAGCAGGAAACTTACTGGAGCAGTATCTATCACTGCCATGTGAGGGCTGATGCCCCGCTTCACCTGGCCTCACAGCTGCACTGCTGCAAAGCTGTAAGCAAGGAAGGCTCCACTTGGCAGCAGGACCCCACCACCTAACCAACCTCAGTCCTACAAAGACTGTCTCTCTAAGGAGGAAATGGCATGGATTCACCCGTTTCCATTTGCCAGGGGTGGGGACATTCCATGTTGGCACTTTTATTCGTCCTTGCTTGACAGGGGCTTCCAGGAAGGCATCAGCACTTTGCACCATTTGTCTTACTTGTGAGACTGCCCCAGGTCTCGAGACCAGCCCAGTCGTGGCCCTGCAGTTGCTCTGGTCCCTCCTCTTTTGAACTCCGTTTCGGACATGTCGTCTGGGTTGAAGGTGGTAGACTGACTTCTTTTAAGTCTAGTTTCAAGGAAGAAAGTATATTCACATTTGGTTAAGGAAAAGGCATGTTGCAAACAATATAGGCAAGCTCTCTACAGTGTTTGTAGCTCTTCTACCTGCCACAGACCTACAGTTAGCTCTTCCAAATGTCACACCGGCTCTTGCCGTTGAGTTAGTAAACCATGGAGCCACATGCTGGAGTGAGAAAAGGGGAAGACCTGTTCCCAGCAAAGCCACGTGCAAGTCCCAGTTTCAGAGAACAGAAACTTCTCATTTTTTTACTTACTTTCCAAATAACTTCTTGATCCCTCTGGCTTTTTTCTTTGAATCTGGAGAAGGTGGTGTCATCTGTAGACTATCCATTTCCCTTGGGCGAGGGGGCAAGCCAGCCAGGTCCAAGTGATCTGCAGATCCCTTCTCTGTTTCAGCTATTAGAAACCAAAAGTTCCATCAAGACCCATTTGCGAGGCACATTACAAACACATTCCTGAACTTGGAAATAACTTGCTGAAATTATCAAGAGCTATCACGTTAAGGAAATGGGGCAAAGGAGGATATGAAAAATCCAGGAACACGTGTTGTTTCCCCTTCATGGGCCTAAATGGCAACACTCCAAGACAATGCTCTGCACCAGTTAAGTGCCTTGGTTCCAAGGTGGGCAAAAAAACCACCTCATGAATCAATCAGTGAATTACACTTCAAGTTTCCTTTTCCTCAGGGAGTGATGCAACAGTCCTTTCACAGACAGAGCTGAGGCATGCAAATGCCCAGAAACAATTCAATGCCATTGCAAGGAACCGAACCAAGAGTCCCCAAAACACAGAAAAAGAAATAATTTCTGTGTAGGCATCTTTCCTAATAACCTGCAGTATACCGTATATCCCCACCCAGGAAATTCCAGCAACAAATAACACCTGCTTCAGGAGCAGAAAGGCCGTTTCCCCCTCACTTCTGCAAATTGTGGAATATTTTGTTCCTCTGCAGAGAAATACTATGAACTCTACACTCTGTCTGAACTAGATCTTCTGAGTGATGCACAAAACGTCTCTGATTGGAGACCCTAGACATTACCACCCATCCTAAAAGCATTAAATCTTTGATCTGTAGCTGTTGTTTTCTGTGACAGTGAAACTGAGGGCTTCTGTCCCCAAAGGGAAGTTTTCACAAAAGCTAAACTAAAAAAGAAGAAAACCATTTTACGATCATTTAAAAGGAAAACTAAAACAATTGCACTATCTACTAGGTTACGTAAGCAGAGATGTGCCAGCAAGTGCCAGATAGCTGAATAAAACAACCATGTGGAGGTTATGTCACTTACTCGCTGTGGAAGAGTGAGAGCATGAACCTGACAGATGAAGCAGCTGTGGCAAGGCAAGGCAGCCTGCAGCAGGCCTGTAACCACTTTTACCATTTTTCAACATGGCTGTGTAAATGGATGCCCATCATTTGGTTTTCAAATGGACTCTCAGATTTCCAGGAGAAAACCAAACAGGTTACATGAATCAAGGTAGAGCATGCTGGGCTTGTGGTCTCAAGCCACAGAGTTTACACTGATGTGGCCACAACATGCCACCAACAGCAACAAACTGCTGACTTTGGCAGCATATCTTTCTGCTGGGCAAGGTCTGAATGATTCAGTCAGAATATATTTAAACATGTCCCATTTTCTACCAGTGCTTTAGATGCTAAACCTTGCAATTCACCTGAAGGTCACATAAAAGATTGTCTGAGCTCTTTGGTTTGGTTTGACCTCTATCAAATATGGGGATCCTGCCAGTGAGAGACAGCACTAATGTCAAACCAGGCTTTTGCATTTATGTTTTTTGTTTTACTTGTACAAGAAAAAGTGCTACTTTAGAAAAAACACATTTAAACATTCTAGAGAGAGAATACTAGGACATGGTTGGGTTCATTAGTAGCAGAGATTTGCGGGTATTGCAGCATCTGCTCCTTGTTCCTCACTCCCTTTCATGCACTGACACAACCTCATAGAGCAGTTAACACTTAAGGGGCCACAAGGGAAGGCCCAAGAGGATCCAGAGGACTTGGTCTCTTTGTTAGCGAGGGGCACATGAGGTGGCTGTACAATCACCCTGACTGACACAGCTTTCCTTGCTAAGGCAGGACCCCTGCAGATCTGACCTGCCCTTGCCAGAACCACCCAAGGAAAGTTCAAATCACAAGACTGGTTTTTACTATGGGGATCTATCCCCATTTGCCCCAGTTATTTCTCACTCATTTATTATCTAATAAATATAGAATCACTATGGTTGGAAAGGACCTCTAGGATCATCAAGTCCAACCTTCATCCCAACATCTCCCTAACCACTAAACCATAGACTCAGGTGCTACACCTAAATACATCTTAGAAGAGGAATTGTGCATCCTTCCCCTCAGAACTCCCCTAAGTGAGTGCCTGGGAAATACGTCTCATTCCCTGCTTTGCCACCCTTTAGGCTGTTCCACGGGCTCCAAGACAGGTGACAGCACAAAGCTGCCTCTGGTATTTAACCATCACTCTTTCTCACCTGCTGCCTCAGTTTGTGGGTAACTTTGTGCTCAAAGTTATGGCAAAGTTCTCTGCAAATTAACCCGCAATCTCTCATTAGTAGCAGTTACTGAGAAACGGCACGGTTGACTTTTAGCAGAGTGCAGATGTTACATGAAAACTCCTTTTAGTGATGGACCAAAGTTTCAATGCAGAGCTCTGTTGTCTAGTTCTGGTCTGAGAAGTGTGTGGCTATAACCAGCTGTTAGCAGAAGCCACAACACAGCGCTGGTACAGGCAGACATGCAGGATTACTGTACCTAAAGTAGGTGCACTTGCACTTCGACTGCGATCTTCAGATATCCAAACAACGCACATAACCACATGCAGCACAACAGGAGAGAACACGCAGAGGGACAAGGTAAAACACAATTCAAAACTTACATCAGTAAAATACAAGACAAAAGGAGGGAGATAAACGAGACATGTGCCACACGCACGCACTGCTGAATTCACACAGAGATTAGGATTTACCAATTCACTGTTCATCTCCCTCTCACAAAAAAAAAAAAAAACAAACCAAACGCAGTAGGGCTTTATGGTGGAGAGGGTAAAACAGCACTGCAGTCACTTCAGTGCAGGGAAGTCACTTGCTCCATGACACATTGGGCAAGTGCCTCACATGGGCTACCATGAAGTGGCAAGTATCTGGACACCAGCTTTACAGGTGGAAGCACTGAAATCTGCATAAGAAATAACTTACTCAAACTCATAAGACCCTGATCTAGAAGGTCCATCTTCCAATTCTTTATGATAGCCTCAAGTACTTCACTTTGTTAGACAAATTCATTTCAGGATGAAACGAGAGATTACACAAAAGCACACATGAAATAAACCAAAGCAAAGGGTCTAACCTTCAGAACAGACTATGTACATCTATTCCAAGTAAGCTAGCAAGTTCCCATACTATACATCACAGGCAGAAATGAACAATGTATAATAAATGTGTAGGTACATTATTTCTTTTGAATGGATGTTTAAAATTGTTTTTGAATACTAAGAACAGGAGTCTCTTCTGCTCAACAAAGCAGAAAATATTCTCCTTCAGGCTTCTGAAAGATAGAGCTAAATTCCTAAATCTCATGCACGAGGAAGTCAAAAACTTTAAATGAATGGCAACAGATCTGATGCACAGACTTGCCTGATGCTTGAATTGAACAGTGGAAAGACTGCTATAGCTGAGCAGTGAACGCAAGTAGAATTTCAGCTGGTGGCAACAGCAACTTCTTTGTTAAGCAGGGCATTTTAATTCTTTGTCATGTGCAAATGTCATCAAATAACAATACCAAAACAACCCCACCTTTATTACAGGTCCAATAATTAACATGAGCTTGAGTAACTTGTCAATCCCATTCCTCTTTTGCAAGGCTGCTTAGACACACATAAAGATGAAGATGGAGTGCTACTGCCTCATTTCTGTACATCTGAAAATCTTAAAGATAGACCTGAGTATAGAGCCAGGGGGGAAAAAAGCCCACAAATCCCATGTGTGAACTACTACCAGACAGCTAGCACTTAAAAACTACAGCAAACCACTACAAGATTCCCAGGGAGATATCACAACAGAAGCTGAAACAGATCAAATACTTCATTACATCAGTGAGGTTTTCTTCTGTTTGTGTCTGTGGTTTTTTGGTTTGTTTGTTTGTTTGTTGTTGCTTGATATTTTCCAAGCATGCTACTGAGAAAAGTGCCACCAACTCACAGTGAGACTAAGGCTGGCCTTTCTCTTTCTTAAGATAGTTACAGCTGTTATTAAGACCCTTAAAAATACAGAGAATCTCCATGTAGATTCACAACACTTACCCAGATTGGGGGCACTCGCAGTCCTCTTGTTATTTTTTATCTTGAAAAAGCCTCGTCCAAATGAAGATCTGGCTTTACGGGTACCAAAACTATCCTCATCGCCTGTGCCACCACGAGAAGGAGACTTTGGAGGGATGGTTGCAAAACTATGACTTTCCACAGGAGGTTTAACCTGCTCAAGTTAGAGAAGTAAAGATTCAATATCAGGGAATGGCAAAAGGCCTTTTGAGACTGCAAAGTGACTGTTGACAGATAGTCTGGAGAATTACTCTCATTTGTCACTACACGGAAACAGAATGTAAAAGCCACAAAGGAAAACATAAACAAGATCCTAATTTGAGTATGTTCAGAACCCAGGATCACTACCACAAACTTCTAAAAGTAACACATTTTCTGTAAGATGTTTCAGTTTCTGCAAGGCTGGCTTACAGGTGTGGAAAAGGTAAAAATACAGTCCTGGAAGAACTTTTTGAGCTTTCCAGGGTCTCTGCCTCCCCTGTTGGTAGCTGTAGGGACAGTGGGACACAAAGAGAGAGGCAGCCACCCACAGGATATCAGTTCTCTGTCAAGTTTCCGACAGCTCTTTTCATCTATTGCTGCTCTGCAATTTCGGAATTAATGGATTAATTGACTACGTCCACTGCCAAAGCTGAGAGAAAATTAATTATCAAGCAAGGAGTCTAAACACCAGGACAGACACCAGACATACAAATTTAAAGTAGCAGTTTTAACCTTGACGGCTGTTTCACTGTCCTTTTAAAAGAAGTAGGCAGCAAAGCCATTCACAATGCAAATATGATCCTTTGGATTTTGATGAATTGATACAGCATTCACTCTACAAATCGTGTCTGTGTATTGTCTCTATCCACTTGTCCTACAGGTAGTAATTGCTGCCATAGGGCAATGACAGTCTCTTTTGGAACACCGTTGCAACTCACGGAAGACATTTGGAAAAGTGAAAGGTTACTAAAGAGACACTAATCAAAAGTAATTACAGTGTCAGTATTATACTTAATGGTTAGATTTGCTAATTATCTTGTGATAGAATATGTGGGGGAAACAGTATCTTAGATGGCAACCTTATGCTCAGCCAGACTGAAGAATAATCTGTGTGTGAGACAATATAAACCTGAGACTGCAGTGATGGTGACAACCATCATATCCTTGCTGTCTTGTCTGCAGGTCTGCTATTCCCCCCTCTGGAACTGCGTGCCGTGATTTCACACCACTTTCAACACCACCTCACTGTCTGCTTTTCTCCATGTTCACATATGAGTGTGCACACATACATTACCTCTGTTGGCTTCTGTGCAGAGTCTCTGTCCTGTTTGGGGAAGATTAAGAAAGACACTTTAAAAATCATTGTTTGCAGCCAGTATTCAATTAATTATGGTTACCCTGAGTAATATAAAATATAAATACTGAAATAACCTTCCCTGACTAGTTTTTCCCCAAAAATATCTCTCTTCAGAGGTGTATTTCACAAAGATTAATTCTTGCTTTCTTTGAGGTCAGTAAGCTGTCATGAAAATATAGTTGCTTCAGTTTACTTTGTAAAGGATTAGCTGTGAACATGATTAGCGATGTGCAGTCTGTTAAGGCATTAATGGGCACAGCTGGCTGAGGGAACCCAAAACAGAAATCGGACAAGGTAGAAGCCAAGTAGGTAAAACATCCACAGCCTCCACTTCTTGGCTGTCCAAACACACACACAAAACCCCTAATCCACGAGCTTTAGCTCTCATCATCATGTTCTGGTTACATTTTCAGTCCTGTCAACATCCCTCCTGAGCTGTGAGGCACAGCTCAGCAGATTGGGCATCAAGGAACTCAGAAGCTTTGAGGAGTTTAGGCTGTCAAAAGACCACAGGAATTGCACTGATTTAATGACATTTTTAGAGGCTAGCTGCTTTTGGTCACTTCAGAAGGGACCTAAACTGAAGCTGTCACCAGATATACAAAGGCTTAGTATTTTGTTGCCAACCATTAAAACATTCACCCTACCCAGACTGTATTTTATAATGCATTAATTACATGGACTTCCAAAATCATTCACCTTAAACACAAGTAGGAAGCAGCAGTGGGACTTCCTTTCTTCTTAAATCAGAAAAGTATATCAACCATAAAATAAAAATACCTCATTATCTGAGGAAAAAAATAGTAAGTCGATTTCAGGTAAATGCCTCATTAAAAAAAAATATTTAAAAATAAAAACCATCTGTTCCTCTTTGTGTTTTCAAGGACAGCTTTTCTCCTTTAATAAAATCTGGAAGATGTCACACGTATACAACATGAAGAGCCCTACTTTGACTCAGAATTTCTCAGAAAGCAGCAACAGAGTGTCCCCGGGGTCACTGCCACAACAGAGATACCTCCCCGGTTTGTAAGGGGATGGGAGGAAGTAAGAGACCAAACCAACCACTTCGGATGTCTCTTTTCTCAAACTGCTCAGACTGCTGGACTTCTGCAGTGAAGAAGTTCTGAAACAACATGAAAATCAAGGCAAGTTACTGGAATTAAATTTGCTAAGATAAGCACAGTCTCACTTTAAAGTGAGAGCTTTCTTGAAAGCATTATCACACATGATGAGATATACTAAAATAAAAGACATTTAGAATTAAGGCAATCAATGCACTAATAAGAGCCCAAACCATTTTCTGAGACACTAAAGAACCTCCACATTGCAATTAGTGCTGCTTATGCTTCAGTGAGATGATGCCTACCTTTGGGTATTTTCAGCTTCTTATTTAACATTATATTTTCAGAAGCACAAGTTGAAGTTACACAGGCAAAGGAAGTGATATAAACTAAAACTATGAAAGATAATATTTTTAGTAACAGGCTTCTGGCTAACTTAATCCTTAAAGAAGTCAAACGTGTGTTTTAGTATTTTATCTTCAGTTCCATTTTCCATTTTGGACCAATGATCCCCCAACTTATGGTGGGTTTTACGGTCCAAAACAATTAAGTCTCGTTGAAAAGAAAGTTAGTATTAAAGTTTTTCCTGCAACCAGGTATAAATTAAGAGTAACTTGACTGAATTTTACAAAGTTACCTGTTTTTAAACTAACATAATAAGGGGAGTAGAATTTGGCTTTAGGAATACTCTCATAGCACTTACTACATCACTCAAAATAAATACAGCTGCCACATCTCAGTGTACCAGACAAACTTCATTGACTTGGGTTCCTTACTAACAAATTGCTTCAAGTTCATAAAGAGTCCTACTGATTGCCCTACCGAATGAATTTACATAGCAGAATTTAAAATTATTTTCTCATTATAGTCAGTTGATCACCTTTCCCTCACTATCAAAAGAAAAAAAAAAACAAATCACATGTGCATTTGCTACAAAAAACTGTAAATTTCCAAGTATATTAACAGTCTGCTACCCAATTAGAGATGCTTCACAGTGTAAGAGAAATAACTGTGCATATGCACAGATAAAGCACTGGAAAATAATGATGATAAAAACACAATATATAAGAAGAAAACTACCACCAGCAAATATAATCTTGTCTAGAACTAGCTGACATATTTACATGTGTATGTAAAATATATGGGGGTGTTTGGTGGGGTGGATGTGTTTCAAGTCAACAGTCATATATTTACATGTGAGCATTTTTAATTATGATACTTACACTGGATTATCACACAGCTGAGTTTCTGGGGAGGAACCTGTTGATCTTCCCTCACTGTAAAGAAAAAAGAAGGCATTTGGAGATCCCATCCAAATACCTTACCAATACAGAAATCCTATTACCTCAGCCTGCTTTGAGCCTGTTTTCACTTCATCTGTTATGGTACTAACACATGGCAAATTTTCCCCTTTACGGTGACGAGTCTTGTAAAAGATGAAGGACAAAGGTAAGCTCAAGAGCTCCAGGAAAGACAACTCTCATTATAAGTTGATTACAATACTGCACTATTCAGCTTAAATAAGTGCAGAGGTTACAGCATGTACAAAGTCTGCAGCAGCACCAAGTCGTGGAGGTCACTGGCTCCCTGTGAGTCACCTACAGTGTGGGGGGTTTTGCTGCAGGTTAGTGACATAATTTTTTCCAAGATGGGCCAGAGATTAAATCTCTGCTGATGATGGCTAGAACTGCCTAAGGCATAGCACAGCACAAAGCAAGCAAAGCTGGTCTTCTGGATAAGATGCTTTCCTTGCCTGGAACTGGAAAAATCACACATTAAGTTTTGCTTGCACTGATTTTTTTGCATCAAGATCGATGACGGTTTTAAGCCAACAAGATTTCCTCACTTCCAAATTCTTAATATTTGATACTTAGATAAAGCCAGGGATTTCAACCCAGAAGAAAAAAAACTAGCACAGCCTCTGCCTAGCTGCAAGTCTGGTATGCTTTTCAATATTCCTTGCAGTCCCAGTCCAGATGTGCAAAGGCCCAGTTTCCCCATCAGGGCAAGGAGGGTGCAGGCTTAGAAACAACACTGGAGGAAGCTGATGGCCACTTCGCACCCAGAAGGCTGCTGCTGGGTTCAAGCATGGGTTCCCCTGCATGCCACAGCCCTGGGGTGCAGCCACACATCCCCAACTCAGCTGCTCTGGGATGCTGTGCCCACACATTTCATTCAGAATGTCAAGCAGGGTTTTTGTAATAGCAAGCAAAGAAGTATCTTTGCATTTCACCATGACAAAGGACAGCAGCAAGGATATGTCTTTCTCTGGTCACTTGGATTTCCTCTGGGGCTTCATTAACAGCTCAAGGTTAATGCCAGACACTCCTCTTGTTGCAGTTTTGGCAGTGCCTTACACCAATCTTTAGCAACTGTGGAAAATGTCTGAATGCAAATCATCAGGAATTCCTTTGTGCTAGCACAGGCAGCACTATCTCAGCCAGACCTAGATGATGTAAACCTAGGTAAAACTTATTCTGTGTCACTCATTATACTGGATCATTTTATCTCCTTCTGTTCATTCCTTGCAAAGCAACTGGTATAGAGAGCTGCTACAAGCAACAGCAACGAAACTAATACTTGCTTACTGAAAAAGATTTCATCAATGCATGTAACAAACATAAGCTTAGTTTGTTATATCTAGTCAAGTGAATGCTAGCCTTGCCTAACCAACTTAATGACTTGACAATACAATAACTGACAGATTATTACTTACTAGACGTCACAGAATATTGGATTTACAACTGAAAAATACATGGAAACAATAATACCTCATTTCACTTGCAGGATCTTGCCTAGGCTGTGTTTTCACTTTCTCTGCAACAGTTTCTGGGCTCTTGGATGTTGACGAAAAAGAAGGGATTGAAATCTGTAAAATACTGGGGTGGATCTGTAAGGAATTCGAAAAAGAATGAAGAATGTGTGTTACACTCTTTTGAGCCAAAATTAAGCAGCCATAAATGAAAAGAAGAGAAACAAACTATGAAAGGAAAGTTATTTCTTTCTTTCTGTTGTAATATAATTATTTACTACTTGAAAGATGGCACTGAAGATAAAACATGAATCACTGCAGAGATGAACTACAGCACAGAAAGAAATTTCAAGTCTCCCAAAGCTGTCTGCTAAACCGATCTCTACCATAGACCCTGTGAAGTTTAGTTCAACTTCTCAGGTTTACTCCTGTCCTCAGCCATTCAAAGAACAGCAAAAAGCTGCTAAACACTTAATTTAATTTTCTTCATAGTGTATTTACACAGCTTAGTTAGTTAAGGCAAGTCCCTGCTCTGACTCACAGTTTTAAGAGAAAAGATCTACAGTTTTATTGCTGGAAAATGTGATTATAAAAATTGGAGATTGCACCACAACCTATTTATCATTTAACTGAATGTATTTAATGACGATTGCATCCTTTTAAATGCTCCTAAACCAACTATATTTGATACGAAAAATAATTTGACAGGAAAACCCATTTCATGACAAATACAGCTATTTGCTGCCTCTGATCCCACTCAATGATTAAGAAAAACAAATTTAACTGAACTCAAATTCTTCAGTAGCTTTCACATGAAAGCCACATCCTCCAAAATGATACAAGACATTACTAAAAAGATATGCAACCCAGAAAAAAAAAAATCTTTTCAGAAACTTGAGTCTTGGCAACTGCAAATATGAATCCAGCACAAGCAACGTTCTCAATGAGTGATGGCATTAAATAAGGAAGAAAAAAAGATACCTCTTCTTGAATATTCATGTTAAACTCATCGTGGACTGGAGATGGTGTTACTGGGATTTGGGATGGGTCAGTTAGACTTGGTGTGTCAAATAAAACTGTAGAAACAGATCCTGAATTCAAGAAGTCTTCATTGTCACTTTCCTTGCCTGAAGGGAGAGAAGATGGAAACTTCTTGGCTTTACTTCTGGATACATGATGACCCTTGCTCCCATGCAAAGCACAGCCTGTGTGCTCCTTTATGGACCAAGAAAAGAAGAAGCTAGGATTGCTTTCTTTTTAGGACATATTACAACAGGAGAATGGGAGTCATTGCCAAACATCACTTCCCAATTCAACAAAGTTGGAGCAGAGGGACAACATACATCTGACAGCAAAAAGCCCAGCAAATTCACTCAGGGCATTTAGTGGGATCAGTTTCAACAAACTGGAGTAGTTATTTCCTGTCCTGTGTTCCAGAAATCCATACTAAATAATTCTTCCTCCTTTTTTACTATGGAATCAAGTCTGCCTGAAACTTAAGATGTCGCTATGGTATCTTCAAGTTACCCACAGGAAAAGTGCAGCCCACTCCACAAGCACCTAGCATCCATTTTTAAGTGACTACAGTATGTTTACAGACTGCCACAAACTGAGTGTGTCTCATTTAGTTAATGCTGTAGCCTGCATCAGCATCTTCTGCTCCCACTGAGCAAGTGTGCTCCTGAACTGCCCTCAGTACTATCAAAAGGCTTGGATTTCCACACCTGTCATTGATACTGACACTGACAAGAAAAAGATAAGGACAACCAATATGTTCTAAAAAGTAAGCAGAAACTGAGCACTAATTTCAAATTGCAAAAGAGCTCATAGAAGTAGTAGCCCAAATCTGTTCACAGCAAAAACTCTGTTGCCCATTTTTCACTGCCTGAACTCTCTGTCCATGTTCCATGAACTGACCACAGAGCAGCTCCCAGAGACTCAAGGTCTGTTTTAATGTCCTTCTGTCTTTGAAGGCATAGCACTGCACGACAAAAGCAGTATCTATTTAAAGAAAAAAAATGCTACTCTAACACTCAGCATGGTATTTTAACCTCATCACCACCCTTCCTTTCCCCTCACTGATATTGTGCTTTCCTAACCTTGCAGATGAAGGACAGCCAGCTGTGTCCTTCATGCCCCTCAGTGGTTTTGAGGCAGGAAAAGCCCTTACATATCAAAATCCAAAGCACACAGAGCGTTTACAGCCCAGCATGCTCTGGTACATGCCAGCTCCCATCCAGGTTTACATCCATGACACCACACTAAGAGAAACTGCTTCCTGAACCCACTGCTGCAACCAAAGGGCCGCAGTGCTCGTTGGAGAGCAGGACAGGCAGCTGGAGACCATGGTCAAGGGCTTTCACGCGGCCCTGAAGATCAGATAGTGACCTCAGATTGAAGGACAGGATCTTCTTACTGCAGTCACTGCTTCTCTGCAGGGATGGCATCTCAAAAGCCAAGCAGAAGCAAAAAAGGGCACCAGGAACCTCTCTTTTCTCTGTGTCTCAGCCCCAGTTTCAGCAACATGTCCAGATAGGGCTCTGCTCTCCACTTTTCCTACCTTGACCCAGGAGCCCAAATATGAATCCACCACCACAAAAATACACATTTTGCTTCCTCACTCATTTCTGGCTATTGACAATCTTCACTCTTTGAAAGGATTCCTGGGGGGTCCTACATCCCTTTCCTAGGAAGGTCATCGAACTCCAACATTTGCACAGCCAACAAAGGCCACAAGCCCTTGTCTGTCCTAAAGAAGCTCAGGCAATGAGCTCAAGTTAATTCAAGTTCAGTGGAAGGCTGGGTTGGCTGCCTGAGGACTCAGTGACAAAGGAGGTTTCCATAAGGCGGTAATACAATGCCATGGAACGCAGACTTTTAACTTGTGTATATTTTATACAACCATACCTTATCAGAATGCCAATGTCTAAAATTTCTCAGGGAAAGGTCTTTCAGAGGACAATGACCTATAAAATGCAGTGTGAGTGCTGAAAGAGGATGATGCATAGGAAAAAAAAGCTACCAGGCCAGGATTATTCCTGTAAGAGAGATGCTAATTTTCTAATGTGCAAATGTTTTCATCTGAAAACCCAAAACCATTTCAGTGTAACAGTCTACATGTGTTTCTTTTGATTTTCTTTTAAGGGAGAGACATAGGGTATTCAATGAAATTATATCAAACTGATGACCACTTCAACATTTATTACTTTTGGGGATCCTGGATTTAGCAACCTCCACTAGTCTTGAAATATATGGAATGGACTATTACATATTCTGATATATAATATAGCTACTATTTAAGCCACATGGTTAAGCTTATTATCTGGTGGCCAAGAAGGTACTTTTTTACAGGTTGTGTGTAAAAAAAGACTGATAGGAAAAGCTAGCCTGGCCCCCACTTTGGTAAAAACGGAGAACTTCACAGATGTGACATGTAGTGGTTTGTGAAGGCTTCACTACATGCCAGAAAAGTGGTATGTCATCACAACACAGCCCTGACAGCACATTCCACTCTGCTGCAGACATTTTTGCAGCTGTCGGGAATTGCTGTTACAGCGTGTGCAGCCCTTGGGGTGGTGCTGGTTTGGCTTGTAGGAACATGCATGCTCAGGCACTGCTCTGGTCAGCTACCAACCCCTCCCCCAGGAACACATGTAAGATGGGGGAACAGCAATTTTTAGCAGTTTTAACAGCCAGTCCTGAAAGGCATTTCAGGACCGCTGGAAAGAGCCTGCAAGCTTATTGTATTCAACTAATTTTACATGGAGGAAATAAGCAATGTGACAATAATAGCTATTGTTACCAGATGGTAAATGGAACAGCACCCAAATGTGCCGCTGCCTGGACAAAAAAGGCAATTTACCAGTTCACACCAGTTGAAGAACTGGCTTTTACTCCACCTAAGAGATGCCTCCAACAACAGTAAGTCTAAGACTTGATATAACCCTACCACAATGCACCCCAAGTTTAAACAAGAGTAGAGTTTAATTCTGTTTTGACGATACAATACCTTTTTTACCTTGAGCCAGTATCACCATGTCTTGAACTTTCTTGTACCTATTCAGAGACTGCCGGAGCTCTTCTATCTTCTGATCCTAGAATAAAGGGAAGTTGTGACTGTGCTTCTTCCTTCAGCAAGTCAAAAATAAGGAATACAAATACTAGTCATTCTTCAGTTTAACTGGTTGTGAGACTTAAAGAAATGGGAAGGGTAGATGGGACAGGACACAGAACTCTGAGAGGCTTTGAAATATCACAACTTCTATTTAGCAAAACCTATCATCTGGTTAATCACCGGAGCTGTCCCAGCCTTGAAAGTGGACTTCAGCTCCCTTGTTAAGTCAAAGGTAGAGTATAATGAATTTGCCATGTAGAAAGAAAGCAATAATGAAAGGATTTAGGGCCCTGGTGATCAAAAGAAAATGTCCTACAAAACACCCATGCATATGAATGCACAAAACCACACATGAAAACCATTCATACTTTAAAGAAAGCCCTTTTGGAAACCACCAATAGGACTTCTATGGAGCAGTTCACATTTTCAGAACATAGTGTAAATTGCAGTCGCACTGAATTGACAACACAACAGTATAAAGACTCTGTGTACATGTTACGTAGCTCATAAATTCTCAGTTATAGTCCCTTAAAGGCACTTCAGTGCTCCCGACTATAGTGAATCATTAGCTGTAACAAATTTGATTTTTTTAACTGAATTGTGGTAAGTTCATATGTGGAGATTTTCTTAAGAGATTTAACAATCTGATGAATGACTACTGAAAAAATTACTTCATTACCTTTTCTTCATTTGCTGCCATTAGAGACTCTACTGCCTTCTTCATTTTCTGTACCTCTATATCTAAAAACACAATACAGTTCTCTAAGTCAATTTAAATAACAGCACAAAGAAATAAGAAAAATAAAAAAACTACAAGCAACTCAGTAATATCTAAAAGTAAATTTACAAAATAAAAGATAAAACATTAGCCAACTAAATTCTGTTTTAGATGGAAATATATAGAATACTCTTTACCCTCAAAATTTGTTTTCAGACATTTTTATCAGGGAAATGATGAAATTCAGGAAATTTCCTTACTCACCCCCAGTCTTAGGAAAATGGAAAAGTCAAGAGAAAAATTACTGCTTGACTTTCACTACTTCCACCTTTCAAATAATCAAATAACAGCAAAACAATAAGTCCCCCAAAATATAAAAATATTTACATATTTTTATGTAAAATATTTGGAGTGCAACAAAACACATCCTCATTACAACAGTCAACGAACACCCCAAACTGCATCTCAAAAACTCACTATACAAAGCAGTAAGATTAATGGATATGATGAAGAAAGCATTGTGCAGTGGTACTTAGTCTTAATCCAGTAGGAATGGAGAAATGAGGACAGCACAATGGAATGACACTAATATATGCTGTGATAAGCAGTCATGCTAGAATAAATATTGTAGTTCAGACTTGGAACAGGTCCCTAACACAAACAACAGTGTTCTGTGCTTCATCCTTATACACAAGGAAGTATAGATACATGGAAACATGTATTTTCTAACAAGGTTTGAATCTGGAGGTGTTCTGAATTAGAAATTCAAAAGGAATGGAAATAAGCTCCACTTTAGCTAAAAATCTGCCTTGCATAAATGAAGTAAATTTTAAATTTCATTACAAACATAAGCAAGTGGCCAGATTCACAGTCAAGAAAGCATTCTACCTTGTTTTAACTGTCTAAAATTTCTTGGAAAGCCAGTAGTGGGAAGAACATTTTCCTCCTTAATGAAATGAAATACGAAAACAAGCTGCCGGGCTGGCTTTCTAGATGAAGGACACTTAGACATATTGGGCTACACCAGCAATCTGTCCAGTTCCAATGACTTCCACTCAGTTATGCTAACTGAAAATCAGGTTTACTGGATTGTGACTGCATTTGATTGAGAGAGGACTGTTTTGTGAGTATCCATAAGACCACATCTTTGTCTATCAGCTTTTCTTCAGAAAAATTTGTATTTTAAGTGTGATATATCCAACTTTATTCTCAAATTTAACTCTAAGTATTATTAAGGGTTAGAGATGATACAATGTAACAATATTTGCTAAAGCAGTTTTGCAAACACATGCAGAAAGCTATTTTGGAAAGCACTTCTGAAAAACATACGCTTATGGAAAGACACCAGAAACCTTACTTTTATCTTTGAGCTTCTTTTTACAGTTTTCATCTGTGCAGGAAAATCCACTGAATTTGAAATTAGCACGAAGGTTATGGCATTAAATAACTTCTAAAGCAATATGTATACTTAATGGGTCACCTATTCCTTATATATTATTGCAGAAGCCAATGAGTTCATGGTTTCAGCCCACACTCCCTGGGTGCTAATGACACAAAATAGTCTCACTGCTCTCATACACAATTGCTTGTCTCAAGGATATATTTTTGAACTGTACATTTTCACTTGTGACCCCTCAGAAAAGGCTTATGCCAACAGATTAGTCTTAAGCTAACACTTAATGCTTTACTGGTAAAAGCCAGCTAAGTGATAATGTATGCATATTTGTTCAGAAAGCACAATCCAGCTAATGAGGCAGATAACCTGTGTTAGCTGCAAATATTGGTCGAAGGCAGAAAAAACATTGTTGATCATGGCAGAAGATCTCCTGCTAACCTATAGCAAAAACTAAATTAAAGCTGAGAACCAGAAAGTAAAGAAGTTAAACATTCCCAGGAAGAAAAGCCCCATATAAGTAATCATAAATGCAAGAAAGTCAGGTCTTGTTCACATTTAAATTTTCTAAAAAAAGAAAAAGGAATCACAGCTCAATGTGATCACTTTTAGTGATCTTATGCAATGGTTTTAAAACAGATCATTTTATTAAACAGAATTTGACAATCTACACACATGTTCCTCCTTGGGTCAGAGGAGGAGACTAATTAATCTGTTCTGGCTTTATTTTTCTAACAAATGTACTTTAATACCACAAGCTTAAAATCAGCAATAACTATCAGTGAGATATATTCAAGGTGAAATTGCAGCATGTCAAAAAAGCCCATGGGAAATTTTTGTGATGCTTTAAAGAATAATCTCTATTTTAAAATAATTTCCTGAATCTGAGCTCCCCGCAAGTAAATATTGATTTTGTTTCTTCTTCGCAAGCAAGTAAAACAATTATCTCACATCGTATAATTTCTGTGCTTAATTTCAAGCTTAATTGGGATTTAGACTTCACAAATCCAAAACCAGTCCTTAATTTCACCTACTTATGGCTAGGTCCACATTGAAGATTTGATGGTACACATCCCACTTTGGTTTGCAGTAAGGCTTTTCCCCTTCCTTACTAGTAAGCGGTGTACGAGCAAAGCCCAGCACAGATGTTCCCAACACAGGAAGTTTCCTTCTCAATATAATCTTTTGGGGGAACTTGTTGAAATTAGTTTAAGGATTTCATTGCCAATATAAAATGCATCTTTTATGGTACCACGCTAGTAATGTAAAGAGCTAACTAGGGATTACTTATGCTACTTGAAAGTTGATCAAGAACTCAATATGATAGCAGGTTCAGAAGTTGCATCAT